TATTAACCAGAGCAATGATTCATTCATGCTCAGACAGTGGTGATGATCCTTGGATTTATAAATGTACAATAGTGTCAGATCCTAATCTGAAGGAAACATGCATTATTTGATTTTCTTTTCAGAATATTCTTTCCTGTACAAGTAATTCACATGCTGTAACCCTCACAATACATATGTGTAACATATGTCATAATTTAAAAAGAAGGTAATGGCTTTCGGTGATAGAAGACTTTAAAACATTTCTCTCAAAAACATGTTTAAATATAGATATGGGCCTGCATAGACATATATTTACCCCTACCCCCAAACCACATTGGCTTCTTTTAGGAATCCTCTTGGACTTTAAAACATAAGGACAAGTAATTATTCTGAGGGCCGTGGCTGCCAGACCACAAATATGAAAAATGAAATCTATTACTTCTTTTATGTTAGGGTGAAGCCAACCCAATTCAGAGTCCCCATCCCCTTTAGGTTGAGAGTGTTAAATTGGGTTAGATTTATAATTCCCAAAACCCAAGGCCCTGGATTAGAGACATACCAAAGACTTCATAGCAGAGCATCCCTGTAACATCTCCCTGCCTTCAGAATAAATTAAGGCATCTCTCTGCCTTAATTCAATTTAGATTAAATTAAGTTCTAATTTAATGTAGTGGAAGTAAAAGAGTCTTTGTGTTTTCTTTTGTGGAAAATAGTTCATGGTAGAGTTCCAGAAGAAATGAAATCTGGAGAAAAGCTGCAATAGTCTAAAGTACAAAAGGAAATTAAGGAATGTTAGGATGCCATGAAACATTTGTATTTGGCCAGGTATTTGTGAAGAGAGTGAGCAGGTACATCATTTGAGGGCCTTGGAGAAAGGGTGGTGAGTTAAGTTAGCTGGACAGAAAAGGTCTGCATGAATTCTGGAGGGAGATGGTAGCAGCCCTGTGGAAGGGCCGCGCTGCCCGTGGAAGGGAGCAAAGATAGCTGCTACTACTCTAGCCCTCCCACACCTCCCCTCTGGTCCTCTGGTCTTCATCTCACCAGATACTCTCACACTCTGCTAACCTTACCTATCTTGTCACAGTTACTTAATTTTTTAAATCTTACTCTGGAAGAAAAAGTAATAATAAACAGGTTTTTCCTCCTCAATTTCAACCCCAGCAATAATGTTAAGAATACGAACCTGCAGACAGATGGCGTATGTTTTAATCTCTTCAAAGTACTGTGCTTGATATTTATTGAGTTAGTTAAACTTTTTGTGAGACTTGGAACATGCAATACAGTGAAGGAAAGCAGATTAATTAAGCTAAGGTGAAATGACTATGAAATAGATAAATGGGTAGAATTAAGAAGAGGAAATGAAACCATCAGGTGACAGGACCAAGTATTTTGTGTTAATGCTGAAATCATCAACATGATTTATAGAAATATCTAATTTTTCCACTTATCCTAGACATTTATTTTAGAACTTTAATAATTTTAAAGTGCTGTCGATTGTCACTTTTTGCTCGTGGCTGATTTCTATCTTGGCGTGAGTTTTAGAATTTCAACATTCCTTACTGATGTAGATTTGAATCATTTTTTTTTAAACATTTTTTAAGAAATGTCCAAGTGAATGAAATACTGTAGGTATGAAAAGAGAATTAATCAAATGAATTCATTTATGTAAGAGTATTATATATTACTGAGAAATAGACTCCATGTGATACAAATGAAAGAACATGACATATATCCACAGTTAAGTCACACTTGTGTCACTCTGTATCTGTGTGGCCTTTAACCAATTTCTTAATCAGTCTCAATTTCCTCATCCACAAATAGAAAAATAATATGAGCTTGGCATACATTTCAATATTATTTGAAAATAAAATAAGAATTCATTGGTCATTTAGAAATTTGTCAGCTGCCATTCATATGTAAACAAAGTTTACACACACAAATATTAATAAAAACAAATAATACTTTAATTGTAACTTTACCATGCATAGCCTGCTTAACTATGAAACTTTAGGATGTTGATTTCTGAGGTATCAAAATTTTTATTATTTTTATCCAACTCTTGATACATACCAAAGATAATAATGAGGTGGGGAACCTGTGGCCTTGGGGCCATATGTAGCCTTTTAACTGAATCTAAACTTCAGAGAACAAATCCCTTTATTAGAAGGATTTGTTCTGTAAAATTTGGATTCAGTCAAAGGGCCACACTTGGGGATCTGGAGGGCCACATGTGGCCTTGAGGCCACATGTTTCCCACCCCTTAAATTGATATTAAGTGTGATTGTTCAAAGGGATCACTTACTAGGTACTTCATAGTTCATTCACGACTACATGAAGACATTTAGATCACAGGGTTTTCTCATATTTAGAGACTAAGATCCCTTTGTGAATCTCATGAAAGCTAAGAATCTTCTCCCTAGAAAAATGGTCATATGTACATATAGACAGAATTTTGCAAGGAATTTCAAGATGTTCATATCAACAGATCCTAATTAAATACCACCATCTCCACTTTAGGTTGACATATAGAAGGATTTTGGTGACATTGCTTCCTCCCTTTCAGATTTCTTGGTTTTCCAGACTATTATTGTCTTCTATTACAGACCATATTATAGACGGTGTTTTCCTGCCCAGCTGTGCCTCCACTCATTCCTTGCTTTAGCTGTATTCCACCTAAGCTCTGTCTCTTAAACAATTCTGATTCAGTCTGCCCCTACTGTGGCCACTCTCCAGCATTTTTAATCAGTGCTGATTCACAGTGGGGCAGTAAGGGAAGGAAGGGGGGCCGTGAACCAAACTAACAAATGCAAGAAACAGAGGCTTTAGACAGAAACGGTAGTTGCAAGTAGTTCTGGGACTACTAAATTAGGCTGCAGCAAGGCTGAAACAGAGGTACAGAGTCCGAAAAATTAGACTGTTGAAATTTTCACTGATTCACAATTCTGCTAATCCTAAACAGTCAAATATTTGAGATTCTTTGTTACTGGGTTCATTTGTCAACAGCTCTTCACTAAGATCTTCTGGAATTTGGCCATTCTCCACCTCTAATGATAAAATATGAAAGTGGTTTTTAAACTGTAAAGTACTGTAACAGTGTAAGGGAGTACCATATTGGACTCCACTGTGATTTGAGCAATGTGAAGAAAAGTTGCACATCATCACATCCATTGTATGAAATGTCAGCCAGAAGGACAGACCAAAGATTTTCTTTCCCTCCAGTAGTCCATCTAACAACTCTATATTTTTCCAGTTTGTAGCATTTTAATCCCCAGATTTTCTACTTTTGCACTAACTCCTCATCCTAGTCATTTACTTAATTTTATCGCATTCCACAAATGGCTCTTGAGATTTAATGTCTTTAGACACTGTCTTAAAAAAATTCTGCATATGTTAACAACCACCACAACAAAGTCCAGGTCAAATATTTTAAAATGCAGACATATTCTTAGAATACCAGAAAAATATGTTCTTGTTTTGTAACTTCAGCAACAATCGCTCTAGATTTCTAAAAGTGTTGCTGTTTAAAAAATGAGTAAGGACATATAATTGCTTCATAAGCCAGATGAACTCACCATTGTGGAATTTTGTTTTATATTATGTAATGTTGGTTTGAAATTTTATATTCTAGTGCCAATGAGATCCAATGAGAATCTATTTGTAGCATAAAATCTAGAAGAAGGTAGCATACTACTTAATAATTACTGTGAAGTATTAAGTTAGAATATTATTTACGCTTTTAAAAATATTGTTATTACCAGGTGAATTTTTGCAATAACATTACGATGTTGATTTTGAAGATTTTTACATTATATGAGCAGAAAACATCAGGCACAAAGATTTAAGGTGGGGACATGTTTCTGAGGCAGCATTAACAGAGAACTGGATTCCCATTAGGTAGTGTTCATTGAGAGGGGATGTACACGTGGAGGGTTTAAAGAAATGTAAAAGAGAGAGAGATTTTTAATTCATAATGCTAACGGGCATCATTTGGTATCAGAAGCATGGCTTGCAGTGTTCTTTCTCTGTGTGGGCTCTCATTGCCATTCAGAATTCTCCCTTTTTTTCTAAGTGCACTATTATATTTTTTATAGATAATTCAGAGAAATTAATAGCAAATGATAGAGAAATTGCTCTTTTTCTTCAATTGAAGAATTTAGAGGGAAAAAAGACATTTGATGCAAAGACATAGGACATTATTATGAAACGCAAGCCTACTATTTATTATATTTTAACTGTAATTTTTTATTAAGCTTTCTTATGTTTATTGTACAAATTAGGGTCAGTAGTGTTAGTAGATTAAAACCTTTTCAATTCTTTTGATGTAAAACTTTTATTTTTCAATGTCTTTATCTGGCAGACCATTGATGAGTTCATTAGTATCTTCAGGCCAAGTGACTCTTTTATTTTTTAGAAGCCAATTTTATAGAAATAACGTATAGAAAGAAGTAAAATGTAGCAGTTTGCCAACATAAAGAAATGCATTAGAAAGCAAAATTATATTGATAGGCTTTGAACGAGAAGAGTCTTTGTGGGTATTTAAAACACCAAGGAATTACAGCTGGTTAAATTGGAGAAGTCAGAGCAAGATATCTTTCTGTACTGATGTGCCATCTCCTGAAAATTAGTAGAAGTTAGTCCTAAGTAGCTAACAGTGAACCCCGGGTACTAACTTCCCTGAAGCACTGAAATAGGAAGTGGTGGAAAAAACTTGTAAAAGAAACCCTCAGGGATTCCCCTGTGATCCCTTTAATCCTTGAATTGTCAAACCACATGGAAAATAATAGAGCTGCGTAGTTCTAAGACTTAAGTGGTATTATCTTTTTAAAGGAAAATATTAGGTCTTTTCACATCTCTGGACAAGAATAGAGCATGTGTTCAGTGTAGAAAAGAGTAACTTTGAACCGGAGATGCATATTGCTTTTTCATTTTTTAATATAATGTTATTATTATCTATGACTAAGCAGGCTTCACCAGCAGGAAAAAAATTACAGCCAATATTTTATTTTCCTTTTTTAATACAGATGATTCAACGAGAAGCAGATGTAAAAAGTAAGGTAACTGCTGTGGCATTGACAGACTCTGTTCACAATGTGTGGCATCAAGAAGCTGGCAAAACGATTCGAGAATGGATGAGAGAGGTGAGACTTGGTTTTCTTCAGTGCTGAGATGAATGGGTGTGAGCCTTTATATCTTGAGCCCCCACCAACTTATATCACCTCCCATCCCCAAACTCCCTTTGTAGAAGCAGAACATTGAAAGGAAATAGAAAAAATTAGACATGCTTAAAATAATAATAGAAAACCCTTGTGAAGAGCTAATACTTTTTGAAAGCCCCCTTCCCCCTTTTTTGACTTTCTATAGACTACTATGTATGCATACAATATGCAGTAGTAACTTTGGCTGAAGAAGGTCCTAATGTCAGGAGATTCTTTATTCCCTGATGTTGAATTTTTCCACCAGCTATTTAGCATGTGCTGCTTAATTACAAGAAAGAAGCTTAATGTACACTTGGTCTTGTCTTTTTCTTCTTGAGAGGTGGTCACTATGTGCCACTCTTAAGTGGATTGGCTCACTACTGCCAGTAGAGGGAGGAAAAATAAAAAGCTGAAATAGTGTTATGCCAGACCCTCGAGCTAAGAGAAATTGGGTGGGGGGGTGTTGGGGGGGGTTGGCCATGGTCCAGCTTCAGGCTAAGAAAGCTCCTTTTCACACTCCCTAAGGGCTGGTGAACCTAAAAACAAACAAGGACTCATTGAACATACTCGCATTATTTTTTTAAAAAAACTTGCAGCCCATTATTTCTTTTATTCCTGTTATAGATATCCAGCTGAAATTTTCTTTTTTCTTTCTATTTATCTTTCTGATATTATAAGCAGTGGACATCAGCTACCTCATGCTATGGTAATTGTTTAGTCCAGTCATTTACTTACATTTATATAGCATGAATGAGTTGATTGATCTTCCTGGTTTTCTCCCTGGTGGCTCTTCAGCTGACCTCTCACCGTAGGACTGTGTGGTGGGTAAATTTTACCAGCCCTCATGGTGCACTGTAAGGACCAAGAGTTAGTGTTTACAGTTTTGAGCAGACAGAAAAATTAGGCTATGTAATTCCACAGTAGTGTTATAATATCACCAATCTGTTGTCACTGTCGTTTTCCCCCCCTTAGGAAAAATACTTTTATCATGCAAAAGTCCAAAATATTTTTATTCCAGTCCTCATAATGCTGTAAACATATAAACGTGGGTTTTTAAAAAATCTATTCTAACATGAAGGTGTTTTCTGACCACATTGCTGCTTTCCATATTTCTCCTTCACAGTGTAGCTACGTCCTTAATTGCATTTTCCAGGGGTCTAAACTTTCTCAAGAGGGAATTTCATGTATTTCTTGCCTATGCTTTTTTAATGCTATTTGTCTGCCCAAATATATACATAGACAGCTCTCAGCATTATATAAGTAGTAATAAATGAGCCATTAGTAACTTTTTTCCCCACACATAACCAATATGGAATTTGGTATTTGGCCCAAACTAAAAAATCTCTGTTCATCATTTTTTAATTGAAAGTTTTTCACTTAAGTCTCATTCCGGGCGACAAATAGAACAAAATTTATTTAGATTTATTTTTTAAGTATTTCCAACTAAGGCTGGATTAGGTCTCCCCTTCAGAAATCAGACTATATTAATCTGTGCAGTTTTCATCTAACTGACTAAAATAGACAGTAGTTGAACTCATTGTAATTTAATCAAGGCCACCATTAATTTCTTTGCAAGCATAGCTTTTATAAAATTTTATAAATGCCCTGGTTCTTGGATGGTTCTTTCAGTTCCTTCAGTTATGCCTCGGGGAAGCAGCGGGAAGAGTATTACATTCTGACCAATCAAAATTGAAACCCCAGCTCAATTACTTACCTAACTGTGTAATCTTGGGCAAGTTATTTAATCTCTTTGAGATTCAATTTTCTCATCTATAAAATATAATATCTACTTTGTAGGTGTGGTTGGGAAATAACACATGTAAAGAAATAGCACAGTTGTTGGCGTTTTAAAGAATTTCAGTAAATTATAGCTATTACTATTGTTACCTTCTCATTCCCAAATAATATAAAATGCATGGACTATATTCATCTTGTGTTTCCTGAATGATTTGCATGTTCAACAAAATATCTCATGAAAGGGAAGCAGGATGACATATCAGAAGTAATTCAGGACAAACATTTAGCAGAACTAAGTTTTGATAATGATTCTGGTGAAGTAAATCAATAATTAATGATCTAGCGTGAACCAGCTACTTTCCTAAGACTTAAAATCTTGGATAAGCCACTCTTATCTTCTTAGGCCTATTTCATATTTGTGAATTAGAGACAATAATTCCTCTTCTGTCTACTTCATGAACTGTTGTAAGAATCAAAGGTGATAATCAAGAAGAAAACCTCTTGAAAAGCAAACGGTACTACATAAAGAAATGACATATATTATTGCGGAAAATACTACAATACCCCAGAGATAAAAATTATTAGATTATTCTGAAGGGAGCTTTGAAATTATCCCTGTTCAGAGCCCTTCCCCAAAGCAAGACCAAAAGGGAGGCTATGAAAAGTCTACAACAGGTATTTCTGTAGGAACCCACCTAAATGTGTGACCCCTCGTAGAGAATATTTCAATGTGGTTTGACAAGATAACAGTCCAGTGTTTCCCAGCACTCAGGATAAAACTCCCTTCCCTTTTCTTTTTCTTTTCTTAGTCTCTATCCACTCTGCAAGAGTCCTTGAAATTATGAAGAGCAAACAAGTCTGGATTACAGGAAATAGAAAGGGCTGCTGTCTTGAGCATGGGTGTTGGGAGAAGGGTGTGGTAGGGTCACCTTTGTGTCCTTCGGCATCCCCCTTCCTTACCACCTACTACTCTAGCTTCATTTGGAATCAGCCAAAAAAACTGAGATATTTTGCAAATATTCCCTCCCCCACAAAAAAAAAACACCTTAGCTAAGCTGAAGTGTTCTTTATAAAAATAACAGTCTAGATGTAGACTAAGCCACAGTGCTTTTATCCTCTTGATGGTTGGCTCCATTATTTCACGAAACTCTGCTTTAAAATTTGGAAGTAAAACAGTGGTACAAATTGCCTAGTCATTCCTATTATACTAAAAATTAGTAAAGTAGTTTTTTGTTTTGTAAGTATGTTTAAATTAATGTGATAAAGTTATTGATGTTAAGTATTTGTTTGCTATAAAAAGCTGACTTATTTTTTAAACTGATTTAACATACAGAACAAAGGTTAAGGAACATATGCTTGTATTACTTGTATAACTTCTAAATAACAGTTTCTTTTAAAGAAAGAAGGTCAAAGAGTACTACCTTTGGCAATTACTCCAAATGAAACCTATTCCTGACTAAAAGACCAAGCATAGATGCTAAGCCAGCCTCATAAGGAGAGGTACAAAGTAACTGAAGGCAGTTCTTAAGAGGCACTTCTTACCTAAGCTCCAGGAGTGTCAAGGCTGAGAGGACAAATGTTGTTTCCTGACATACCTCTGGCCTCTGAAATTCTCCAGCCAAGCCAGATGTGTGATTCTACATTACGGTTGTAAACCCTTTCTGTTACCATTCAGCTGTGAGTGTAGGCCCTAGAAACACAACCTGGTGAATCATAGTTGTACTTGTCTGAGCACACAAAACTTTCCATAGTAAAGATCAACTTCTAAAACAATGGTGATTAACAACTCAGAAAAATATCATAAAAATGAATAAAATCTAGACCTAATCAAGGCAGCCACCATCTCCAGATACCTCCAAACACCTTAATAGCTACTACGTCCTTTTCTCTTTAATTATTACTAAATTCTAACCTTTTTATTAAAAAATTCATCCATTTCATATCTACTCTGAAATATTCTCGACCCTAGGTTCAAATGGCAGAGAGAGCCACTTAGCCAGACACGGTGGCGCGTGCCTGTAGTCCCAGCTACTCGGGAGGCTGAGGTGGAAGAATTGCTTGAGCCCAGGAGTTCAAATACAGCCTGGGCAAGTGACATAGTGAGACTCCATCTCTATAAAAACAATAATAATAAAAATAATTTTTTTTCAAAAAGGAAGTCACTCAGCACTATGGTCTATAGAAATTTCTAGTCCATATAAATGGTTCCCAAACTTTTGAATTTTACACAGAGGAAAATTTACAATCACGGAAATCTGTAGACTTATAATCTCAGCGTAAAAAAACCTTTAAATTGAAAACACTTAACTTTAAGAAACACTCACCACATCGCCTATTTTTCTCTTGTTCCTTCAGACCCAGAGAAACACTAGCTATATGATCCATGTCAATCTGCCTGCTCTGACGAAGTACTTCTTTCTCTATACTTGTTTGTTAGGACAAGGAGGGGCTGCATCTGAGACCCAAGCATGGCACTGTTGGTACCTCTAGTCCAACATGCTTTACTGCCTACCTGAGGTCCCACGGACTGCTAACATGCTCCAGCATGTTCTGAATTTAGGTAGGGCTTTCCTAGTGGGCTACCTGTGTCACCACCCAGGACACTTTAGTAGTGTTCATCTGAATGGAAAAACTGGGGTAGAGGACAGATGAGGGCATTGAAAAGAGGGGTAGATACACATCAGAAAAACAGTGGAAGAGATTTGGTCTCTAAACTATAGAAACATTTCAGAGTAAGCAGTTAGATTTGGTAACATGGAATTTCAAACAGATCAAATTCATATGTAATGGCTATGTGTCTGTCTTTACCAACATTTTCCAATTAAGTTTATGTTTTTCATTATACTCTGTTGTATACTTTTCCCAGTAGGGTTAAAATGCCACATACACATGCACACACATTTACACTCTTCAATTTACAATATCAAATCTTTACAATCCTACACAGGTACTTTGTCATTCCACAGAACTTTTGGACATGTTCACTTTAGCTATAGGATATTTAACATCTATCTGATTTTTATGAGAGGCCAAAGCATTATATATGTGCGTAGATAAAAACTGCAATTTCAGAATCGTAAAATGTCAACCTATGTTTTGCTTTAAGTGTTTGAATTAAAGGTGAGATGGGCAAACTGGACAAAAGTTCATTTTGTTCAGCTTTTTAAAGTCAGCAACAAATCACAAAGTGATTAATCACCTGCACATTGTCATGTACCATCATTTTTATTAATCTAGAAAATCCAGTAAGACATAGTTTTACATATGTGAAGTATAGGAGAGCAGTATGAAGACTGACTTATCACCTGGGTAATAGCTGACTTTCATCAGATTTGGAAATACTAGTAGGATGAATAATAATTAAAATACATACAGTACCTAATCGCTGCCTGTCTGTCGGTAGTGCTAATTGCTGTCATTGAAAAGACTGAATTGTTTAAGAAAAAGAGAGAGAAAGAGAAAGTCATTCTTCATTGAAGCTATCTCCCTGTATCATTGGAAGCCTATTTTTAGTACCTATAGAAGTCATGATTTTTGAATTTATTAGGGGCTGTGCTGAATGATAAAACAAATCATCCATTTACATATCTTGACACTGCTTTGGAGAATACTTATTTCTTACAAGCAAGTGTCACATTGTATATAAAAGCTGGCTAATTGTGTGCTAATCTTCTGCATTATCTAGAACTCTCTGATGTGGTAGTCTATCAATGGTAATATTAATTTTACTTATTTCAAATGTATGAAATATCTCCTAAAACCCTATTTCTTTTATAATTTCTACTCTTACATTGTATAATTTTGCATTCAGCTGCTAATTAAGATTAGGAGTGCACGTGATAAAATATGTATCCACTTTAAACCATCAAGCTTTTGTAATACATGAAAAATACTAATATTTCATCCATTTTAAATGTAAAAAGAGAGAAAGCATTTAAGAACATTACTAGACGTTGTGTTTGTTTTCATGTTTTTTTCCCTACACAGTTCAATAGTTTCATTGATCTACTGTTTCTTACAAAAATCTGCCATGCTTTGTGAACTTCACTTTCTAATCTCATACAGCAACCCTTCCTTTATGTTATTCCTGCTCTCCCTGGTCCCAGAACAGTAGGGTTGCCTTGACAAATCTATTCAAAAGCCATTCCTCGGCCTTTATTGGTGGGGACTGGGGCCTTTGAAATTCTCTCCTCACTGCAGCACAGCTGACATCTTCTTCCAGACAGAATGAATTAAGGAAATACAATAAGACACTTGATCTACCAGTCAAGGATCTTTCCACAGTGAGGACGGATTCCATGGTGCACAACCAAGGCAGCAAGCATCTAAAAATACACAATACATGCTTGTTTACCAGAATAGCAATCACCGATTTTTCCAACATGATTGATAGGATGATTTCTTTTAAAATAAAATCTGTCTGGAAATTCAGTGTGTGTGTGTGTGTGTGTGTGTGTGTGTGTGTGTGTGTTTGTATGTGTGTGTTGAGAAATTTTTTAGAAACCACATGACATTAGTCACATTTCTAAAGCCAGTCTTCAAATATAGACTTAAAATGTATAGAAGAAATATAGATTGTTTTTATTTCATTTGTCTAAATTGTAAATCATCATTACCTTGCAGGTTGATGTTTAATATTGAAAGCTTTGTGTCCTCAGACACACAGCTACAATTCACCAGGTTGTTCCTTTATAACTACTTTGATACAACCTTCACTATAGCAAGTCAAAGTAAAAATTAAATGGTAGCATTTATATATAGGCCAGATTTTGAGGAGTAAATGTGAAATTTATTTCTTCTGGTATTACACAAAGAATATAATTTAGAAATTAGGTAGTCTTTCACATGTTCATATTAGTATTTATTTTAATCTAAAAGTTAAAAATGGATCACTTTTTCATTTTCCCTTAGTTAGGATCCGTTTGTTTGCTTACTCCTTGGCTTTCTAAATTTCTCATAGAAATATATTGTATCACGGTTCACAGAAGGATTACACTCTTTTTTAAATATCAGCACAGATGATTTGCTGTTGAGTTGTTGTAAGACAAACTTTTTTCCATATTCATTTTAGTCATGACTGATTACATAAGAAAAAAAAGTTTAAAGTTTATGGAAAATAAACTGAATACACTTCTAGTAGTTGATTTTATACAATAAATTAATCTCTTCAGCCTAAAACTTTGGTCTTAGCTTAAATTATGTTTCAACAATATTGTCTCTATTACATTGCAGAACTGTTGCAATTGGGTCTCTAGCTCAGAACCATTAGACACGTCAGTGGAGTCCATGCTACCTGACTGCCCCCGGGTCTCAGCAGGTATGTGTTTGATGCGAGATGTATGTTTTTTTTTAAGGTGAACAGTATGATAATGTAATGTAGAAATTTATTTTGTGAATTAACTATGTTGTTCTGCCTTGAATTGTTGAACTAATTATTGGTAACATACTGCATGAGTCTAATCCACTACCACAATTTGTTAATTATGATAAAATTATAATTATAGCCTACAATGCTTACTAATAAACTCAGTAAGATAGTGAAACAATCCAAAAGTAATTTTGATAGTTGCTGTTGAAGCTTACAGAGATGAGACATGTATGCATAAATACCTAAAAGACAAGAGCTGGGTAGCCATACAGGATCTTTCACAGAATACTTGTCTCCAGTTGAGTACCAACTCAATGATATGACAGGCAGTCTAGGCTGGTTTGTGTCTCTAGAAAAAAAATTTTTCATGCAAAGATTTGAGCTGGACCTTGTGTTAGGTAGGATTTAGACTGTGGGAAAGCATACAAGATGGCATCCTAGGCAAAAAAAACAAAGCAATTTAGGGAGCAAGGTCAGAAATGGATCCGAAGATGTTCACAGGGAACAAAGGCAAGACTGGCCTGTCTGTTGAAAGGGAATGGGTGAAGACATGAGCACCTCAGGAAGCAGCTGGGCTATAGAAAGTTTAAGGATAGTGCTGATTTCCAGCATACAGGGTTTGTATTTGCATCTCTAGGTAGAGATGGAAGATACCCTAGAGAGAGTGACATTTGTTGGTTTTGGCTTTCACAGTTCCCAAACAAGGGAGCAGTGGTATCTAGTTATGACTAATAACTGAAATGGGTGTGCTGTAGCCATGGATGCTGGAGAGTGAGCGGAAGTCTGGAACGCAAACTACAACCATAGATGATAGCTAATCACTAAGTACTTAGAGATGGAGATATCTTTACATATTTAAAGGAAATAATTTGGAGAATAGTTCAGATTCTAGGTAAAGAACTATTGTTATAACTAAATGTCACTATCATCAATATATAAATTTCAACTGAGTTTCACTAGCATTATAGCTAAATTTTATATAGGTCTATCAGTAAGGGTTCAATCAGAGAAACAGAACCACTAGAAGATATATATGCTACAATATATATACATATCATATACGTCTGTGTATATACATATATAATACACAATCCTCATTATTTATGGTACCTATATTCTATGAAGTAACTGAGAGCACCGAATTAGCAAATATTGCTCCTAGGTGAAATACAAGGTTAGGTTCCTGTGAGCCTCTGGTCACATTTTTGTCAACCCGTCAATATGTAACATGGCCAGCGCTGTAACTCATGCCTGAACAAAGCTTATCTAACACATATATTTTCTCCATAAGACACACCACAGCTTTCTTGTGCTTAGGAACACTAGACAGCACTTCAGTACTATATTTGAGGGCCATTTTAAACAGAGAACTCACCAGCAAAAGCACAAAAATAAGAAAAACATGGCACTAAATAGTCCATGAAAAGGACACCTGTTTACAAAGTGAGAGGTGAAACAGAAAGGCAGAGCATGGCCTTGGTCAACCTCAGCTAGGAACAGGTGACTCAAATTTTTCACCACTCTGCACATGTGCGTGTCTGAAAATGACTGCAAAAGTCCCACGAGTGTTGATTTGGGGGTTACAAAGATATTTTACTGAGTAGGTGAATTTGCAAATACAGAATCCACAAATAATCATGATAGACTATGTATAGGAAAGGATTTGTTACAAGGATTTGGCGAGAGCTAGTTAGGAGATCTCTGTAAGGATGTTGAGTTTGCATGTGATGATGGAGCTCGAGTTTGCAGAGCAGACATTTGATAAGGAAAGAGGGATGTAAAGTGGCAGAGAGCACAAGAATGAGCTAGAACCCATAGGGAAGAGCTAGTCCGTGAAGGTAGACTTAAACCTGTGTCAGTTCTTTTTGCCGCGGTCTTTTGTGGTGTGGGTGTCCTGGAGAAGCCTGCCCTTTGTCATGGAGCTATACATACACCTGCTTTAGAAGTCAGAGACACTAACAGAGAATCAAGGGCAAAGTGGAGCGAATACAGTCCTCCCTATTACCTCCCTATTACCAGCAGATAAGTGACAACATAAGTGAGCTACAAATGGCTGCTGCTTCACTTTAACCCTCCAAAAAAAAAGACAACAACAACAAAAAAAACCTTCCTTGTGTACTGTCCTAACCAGAAATAGACAGGACAAGGAATTCTGGGAAATGTAGTTCAACCTAGACAAAGTGACTCATTAAAAAGCCACCACGGCCCACCTCTTACCAAGCTGGCACTCATATACATCTCTTCAAAACGGACTTAATCTCCAAACAAAGACATTAATAAAGTCATACTTCCACCAAACATGTAACAGCTATCCCATGTACAACCAAAAACACACTAACACTTTCCCCAGTAGAGGGTACAAACTCCCTTAATTGTCCTTTGCTGATCATTCTTCTTACCATTGGTGTCCTATAATTTAAATTCTGAGAAATACACCTAATGTAACATGTAGTTTTAATATATGTTATATTTGATGATAAGGGAATAAGAGAGAAAAACAAAAATATTTAGTTTGTATGTATATATACAAAAATATTCATATCAAAATAAACAAATACTTCTGTATTCTTTGTTTTTGCAACTGGTCATATTGTTGTAGCTGGTGTTTATAACTACCTTCTTCTGCTACCCATTCAGTATAGGCATACCTCAGAGATATCGTGGGTTCGGTTCCAGACCACCTCAATAAAGTGAATATCAAAATAAAGTGAGGCAAGGAAATTTGATTTCCCAGTGTGTTTATTAATAAAAGTTATGTTTACACTATACTGTAGTCTGTAATTGTGTAAAGCATTATGTCTAAAAAATGTACATAACTTAAAAATATTTTATTGCTAAAAAATGCTAAAGATCATCTGAACCTTCAGTGAATCTTTTTGATGGTGGAGGGTCTTGCCTCAGTGTTAGTGGCTGCTGACTGATAAGGGTGGTGCTTGCTAAAGGTTGAGGTGGCTGTGGCAATTTCTTAAGTAAGACAGCAATAAAATTGGCCATATCAATTGACTCTTCCTTTCACAAAAGATTTCTCTGTAGCGTGTGATACTGTTTGATAGCTTTTTTTGCATAGTAGAACTTCTTTCAAAATTAAAGTTGGTCCTCTCGGACCCTGTTACCACTTTATCAACTAGTTCTCACAATATTCTAAATCCTTTATTGTCATTTCAGCCATGTTCACAAAATTTTCCCTAGGAGTAGATTCCAAATCAGGAAAGCAATTTCTTTGCTCATCCCTAAGTAACAATTCCTCACCCACTCAAGTTTTATCGTGAGATTGCAGCAATTCGGTCACGTCTTCAGGATCCACTTCTGATTCTAGTTCTCTTGCCCTTTACACCACATCTTCAGTTTCTTCCTCCACTGAAGTCTTGAACCCCTCAAAGTCATCCATGTGGGTTGGAGTCAACTTCTTCCAAACTCCTGTTTGTGTTGATATTTTTTTTTTATTTCAGCATATTATGGGGGCACAGATGTTTAGGTTACGTCCCCCCCAAGTCCGAGTTTCAAATATGTCCATCCTTCGGGTGGTGCACATTGCACTCTTTGTGTATGCAAATACCCGTCCCCTCCTCCCTTCTCCCCCCTCCCCCTCCCCCTGCCCAACATCCAATAGATGTTATTCTTATATGTGCATTTATGTGTTGATCTGTTAATACCAAATACTCCTGGATAGAGCTGGAACGCATTCTACTAAGTGAGGTATCCCAAGAATGGAAAGACAAGCACTACATGTGTTGATATTTTGACTGTCCTCTGTGAATCATAAATGTTCTTAATGGCATCTAAAATTGTGAATCCTTTCCAGAAGGATTTCAATTTACTTTACCATATCCATCAGAGGAATCCCTATCTGTGGCAGCTATAGCCTTACAAAATGTATTTCTTAAATAATATGTGAAAGTTGAAATTACTCCTTGATCCATGGGCTACAGAATGGATGTTGTTTTAGCAGGCGTGGAAACAATATGAATCTTGTACATCTCTATCACAGCCCTTGGGTAACCAGGTGCATTTTCAATGATCAGTAATATTTTGAAAAGAATCTTTTTTTCACAAGTGATAGGTCTCAACAATGGGCTTAAAATATTCAGTAAAAACCATGCTTTGAACAGATGTGCTGTCATCCAGGCTTTGTTGTTCTATTTATAGGGCACAGGCAGAGTAGATTTAGCATAATTTTTAAGGGCCCTAGGATTTGTGGAATGATAAATGAGCATTGGCTTCAACTTAAAGTCACCAGCTGCATTAGCCCCTAATAAGAGAGTCCTTTGAAACTTTGAAGCCAAGTATTGATTTCTCCTCTCTAGTTATAAAAGTCTTAGATGGCATCTTCTTCCAATAGAAGACTATTTCATCTACATTGAAAATCTGTTGTTTAGTGTAGCCACCTTCATCAATGATCTTACCTAGATCTTCTGGATAACTTGCTACAACTTCTCCATCAGCACTTGCTGCTTCCCCTTACACTTGTATGTTCTGGAAATGGCTTCTTTTCTTAAACCTCATGACCAATCTCAGCTAGCTTCAAATTCCTATTTTGCAGCTTCCTCACCTCTCTCAGCCTTCATAGAATTAAAGAGAGTGGGGACCTTGTTCTGGAGTAGGCTTTGGTTTAAGGGAATGTAGTGGCTGGTTTGATTTTCTGTCCAAACCACTAAAACTTTCTCCATAACAGCAATAACACTGTTTTGCTTTCTTATCAGTGTATTCACTGGAGTAGCACTTTTAATTTCCTTCAAGAACTTTTCCTTTGCATTCACAATTTGCCTAACTTTTTGGCTCAAGAGGCCTAGCTTTTGATATGCCTTCCTTATTAAGCTCAATCATTTTTAGCTTTTGATTTATAGTGAGAAACATGAGATTGTTCTTTTCACTTGAATACTTGGAGGCCATTGTAGGGTTCTTAATTGGCTTCATTTCAATATTGTGTCTCAGGGAACAGGGAGGCCTGA